GCAGACACAAGTTGGGAGAAGCAGCCCCACCTCCATGTACCCCTGTTCAATAGTGAAGCCACAGTGTAGCTGCACAGATCTGAAGAAGCCTGCTCCATGCTCTGCTACCTCCCTGTAAATCTGGAATTAAAGGAACCCAGGTGCCTGTCCCATGCCTCTGCACATCTGGCCTGGGGCCCCACAACCAGCTTCTTGGGAGGAACCCAGGAGAATGTCAAGACAAAGGAGCAAAAGGCAAACTCAGACCTCCAGCCCACCCAGAATAAGTATGGGAGATAGTCATGGAAGAAAACAGAAATCACACACCTGAAATTTCTGAGAGGATGGCAACTAAAGTAAGGAAACAACTTCATGAGATTGTAAAAGCAGTCAAACCAGAAATGTCTCAGGTAAAAGAAATTGCAAATATACTGAAAGAATTGTCCAGCAGATCTAAAGATGACACAGATAAAAAAGAACAGAATAGGAAAATAATGGAAACATTGAATGAATGTAGAAAGGAATTACAATGCATGAAACAGATTCAAAGAGAGATGCAGGAAATTCAAAAGTAAATTGAAAGCTGGCAAAACCGCTTGAAAGAAACTGAAGATAGACTTTTCAAACCTTGAAGACTGGATTGCAGCTAGTGATCGTAAAAGAAAGATCTCTTAGAATTAACACAGAATCAGGAAATAACAACTCAATGGCTGCAAGATGAGGCAAAGAAGCATAATTAAAGAGGGATATGTATTAGTGAAGAAACAGAGGTCAACACAAATGAAATTAAAAGGAGATAGATCCCTTCTATAAAGGAAAACCTATCAGAATCACAGCAGATTTATCAACACAAACCATCAAGTCAAGAAAAATTTGGAGTGAAGTGTTTCAAACTCTGAAAGAAAACAACTTCCAACCCAGATCTACCCAGCAAAACTATCTTCCAAAATTGATGGAAAAATAAGGTAATTCCGTGATAAAGTATTCATGACTACCAAACTTAACTTACAGAGAGTGCTAAAGAATATTCTAGAGAGAGATAAAGATGAGCATGGTTCCAGGAACAGCAGCAGAGAGGATCACCAAACAAGACAGGCAACTAAATGAAGGGGGAAAAGTGTAGGGCCTACAACAGGAGGTTAGCAGGGCAGAGACAAACCAATATATATGCTGGTTGTAACCCTTAGAGAACCAAAAAACAAGATCCATCAATATACTGTATACAAGAAACACACTTAACTGGAAAGGAAATTCATAAACTGAAAACCAAAGGACGGAAAACAGTTGTTCCATGTGACAGGAGACCAAAAAAAAAGCAAGAGTAATTTGCCCATCAATTGCAGAATGGATAAGAAAGATACGGTACTTTCATGCAGTGGAAAGCTACCCAGCTATAAAGCAAAATAATCTCAAGGCTCCTGTAGGTAAATGGATGCAACTGGAGATCATGTCCATGGCCAAAGCGGTTCAAACTCATACGTGTGAACCCTAGCATAAGAAACAGAAAGTTAATGGAATCCAAAAGCAAAATAGTTAATGTAAGCAAAGGGAGGAAATACCTGGGAGGGAAAGGCAGAAACTACTGTCAATTTCTTACTGCCTTATCTTGAACTTACATTGGTTACATAATTTTATTAGGTTTGGTTTTATTCTGTCTTGTTTTGTTAGATTTTATGCTGTCAGATGGTAGGGGCAGCTATATTGAATACAATGGGATATATTATGGTAATCATGGTTTCCTGTTATATTGCTTAGAAGTCTTATAATGCTTTCATTCATTGGTTTGATTGATTTTATTGTTTGATTTTACGTTTGATGGTACAAACAGCTATTTTGAAGACAATAAAGACATTATACTAGCCATTGCTCATTTCCTATCATCTTATTTTGAAGTCCTATCATGCTTTTATTCTTCTGTTTTGATTGGTTCTATCTTGTTGTGTTTATTTGATTTTATTTATTATGTGTGATGGTATAGACAAATTTTTTGAGGAAAATCAGATCTTACAGCAGCCACTGTTCATTTCCTGTTATTTGGTTTTGAAGTCCTGTAATACTTTCATTCTATTGAATGGTTTTATACTATTTTGTTTTATGTTTGATATTACTGTGTGTGAAGTTATGGTCAACTATTTTGAAGTAGAGAGATTATGGTAGCTACTACTGATGTCCACTTGTCTTATTGTGAAGTACTGTGTTGCTTACATTGTCTTGTTCTGATTTGCTTTGTTCTGTTCTCTTTTGTTTTATTCTCTTTAAAATAAAAAATTAATGAGAACATTTTGTTGTAAGAAAAGCAGAAACAAAAAGGTACTATTTATTTTACTTTTTTGGTGCTGGGGATCAAATGCAGAACATCTTGCATGTTAAACACATTATATCATGAATGACACACCACACTACCAACCTGAGAAAAACACTATTTGGAAGAGAACAGAGAATAAAAATGAAAACTAAATGTCCTACATCTCCTTCACTGTCTCCTCAAAGTACTACCCTCTGTCCATAAACATAAATACCACAGAGGTCCCTGTTAAAATAACGAATCAGCAGCCTACGCAAGACTGATTCCATTAGCCTTTTGTGTTTGAAAACAGATCCACAGGACAAAGCTAGGCATGGTGTTACATGCCTGGAATTCCAAATGAGGCCAAAGAATCTCTAGTTTAAGGCCAGCAAGTTCAAAGTCAGCCTTGACAATGCAGCAAAACCCTATTTCAAACATGAAAAAAATTTCCAGATGAGCAATGTGCATTCTCAAGTTTGAGAAGTACTACTGTAGATCTTTCTATTTAAAGAACATAAGCTTTAGAAGGGTCAAGGTTCAAATCTAAGATCTGACTATTATATTCATGAACTGGGCCAAATGTATCTCTTAACTTCCTCAGTTTTAAAACTGAAATGTTAATAGAAGTTACTTCAAAAAGTTCCTGTGAGGATTAAATGAAAATCCAAATGCAGCAATTGGCAGACTGTCAAGAAAATATAATGTATCTAGTGTTAGCTGTTTTGATTGTTGAAAACCCTCTCCTGTACTATGAAGGCTTTACATAGTAGTTGTGGAATTACGTGCTAAGAGAAACAATGAGGGAAAAAAATTTTTTTGCTTTTCTTTTTACTTTTTACATGGGTCATGTTAGGTCTCCGAAAAAGATTAACAGCTTTTTAAATTTTCATTATTCTAATTTTTGTTTCCAATTAATATTCATTTTTATTTTGTGTATACCAATAAGCAAAAATCAATCTGAATAACCAAATTAACAAATGATATCAACTTTAAATCAGTAACTAATTCTTAAGGAATGTAACTAAAACAGTAAAATTAAGAAGGAAATTTAATAGAAGGTTTAGACTACTTTAAAATTAACACACTTTATACTGAAGCAGTTCATATATTTAACATAGAGAAAATAAATTTTTAAGTCAGAAATACAGCTTTTAATAAAAACATTAAAGATATCTGAATCATGAAAACCAATGGTGAAAGGTAGCCAAGAATGAAAATTTGGGATAAAAGCAATGTTTAAAATGGAGAACCATTAAGTCTAACATGAAAAGGTTTAATTATCTGTTTTTAAGCAATGCTCCCTTTATGTAGGAGATACCCTCCGAATAGTTCACTCAGCATCAAATAAAGAAAGAAAATGTTGTTTTTCTGTTCCAAACTGTAAAGGCAAATTAAATGCCTCTGGTGGAATAAAACATTACAGAGAAAGCTAATTCCTTTACCTGTCACGAAAAATTTATCAGTGACAAAGGTCAGACTTGGTTCTTTTTAGAAAGAAGGTTATATCTGCCTATTTGAGCAAATCAGGAAATTCAATCAACAATCAGTTTTAATAATTACAATTAACATAAACTTAAGAGCCTGCAAGATGAAAAAAAAATGAAATTAAAAAATAGACAAGCCAGGCATGGTGGCAAATGGATTCAATCCCAGCTATTCTGTCTAGTAAACCCTGAAAACCTCAAGCAAAGATAAAGAAAAACAAATAAAGATGGACAAGGATTCAATAAACATTTTTCTTAAGAAGATATACATATGGGCAATAAACAATTTAAAATACTATCAATATCCTTTGTCATTAAGGATGCTGATAATTTATAATGAGTTATCACTTCATTCATATCCATTAGGATGACTATTATTAAAAAACAAATAACAAGTACTAGCAAGGTTATAAAGAAATTGGACTCCTTGTATACTGCTTGTAGAAATGTAAAATGAACCAGCTGCTGTGGAAAACAGTATGGCAGTTCTTACTACAAACAATACTACATACAACATGCCAAATGTTCAAATAATTCCACTTCTGTGTATGTACCTAAAAGAGAATGCAGGGAGTTCAAAAGATACTTTTATACCTGTATTCAGAGCAGGATTACTTACAATAGTCATAAGCTGGAAGCAATTCAAGCGTCCACTGATAGATGAAATGATAAACAAAATGCTGTATTCATACAATGAATTATTACTCATCCTTAAAAAGGGAGAAAATTCTGACTTATGAGACCATAGAGGTGAAATGGAAGATGTGATGTTAAGTGACATAAAAGGACAAATACTGAAATTCCCAGTACACAAATTTATACAGACAGAAAGTAGATGACAGGGGTTAGGAAAAGGAGAAAAAGGAGTTAGTGATTAACAAAAGTAGAGTATCATTAAAAAAAAGTTCTGGAGTTAAATGGTGGTAGTGATAATCATAGTGTGAATGTACTTAACTGTATACTTAAAAATCATTAAAATGGTCAATTCTGTTTTGTGTATTTCTCAACAAAAATTTTCTCTATCTCAGCATTCTTAAATTGGTAAAAGATGTGATAATCTGAACATATTCTATTTAATTTTTTAAAATGTTTTATGTAAAAGAGCAAATGCAATGTTTTGTTCTTTGTCTTTAAATTATGAGATTATGTAAAGCTCTCAACTTTTCAACCAAAATTCAAAATTATATAAATGGTTAAGATAATAAAAGAAGCAATTACAAAACAAAGCAAAATAAAACACACAAAAAAACCTTGTTTAGGTGTTTCTTCCTCTTTTTTAGTCTCCTCATCCTCTAAAGCAGGACTTTCCCGAGAAGAGTTGTCCTGTTGGCTAGAGTTTTTCAATAGTACAGGATCAATTTGTGCTTTCAGGAGTGCAAGAGTCTCAGCCAACTCATTTCGATTTCTAAACAAGGGAAAAAACAAGACAACATAAAAATCTTTCTCCTCTTCTGAAGAAATTTTTAATTAATAATACTTTTTAGAAATTAAAATTTTTTAAAAACCCAAATAATTAATCCCGAATTATAAAAATAAGTACTAAAAAAGAGCAGGCATTAAACGCACTATTCACCAAAGAGAACAGAGTTCTTATTGCAACAGTAATGCAGATCTCTTCAGCTGAAACTAAAAGTAGGAACAATGCTACACAAAATTCAAAGTTCAATAACTAAAGTATAATGTCTAAAAGATTAAATCAATGCATAACTTGATTAGAATATTTTTAACAAAATAATCCATGTTCTGGTTTCACTTGGAAGTAACTTTTCTATCTTCAAAAATGGCAGCATTTAATACTGTTATAAGACGACTATAGTAATGATTACAACAAAAAATCAACTCTATGACAGCTTAAAAACACTAAGAATTTAATTGCTGATTTTATTTTGCCAATTCCAGTTTATAAACACAACATGGGAATTCAGTTTGATTCAATAATAACAAAATATTTAAGATTTTAATCCATAAATTCTTTAGTTTTACTAGCAAAACTGAAGATGTAGGATGGCTAATTTAAATTCTCACTCAGAAAAGCATGAAATGTTAACATTAAAAAGCAACCCCTAGAGTAAAAGCTGGAAAAATTTATCTGTACAACTAACATTAATCAATACCATGACCTCTTTCCCTCTTCTGTGCTCCCTAAGAACTATTTATGCACTAATCACATTAATACGATTAACCCTAGGATGAAATTGTTAAGTTTTTTTCCCTGTATACCACACGTCCCTATTCTATTCCTTTCCAGACCCCTAGTAACTAAACTGCATAGCTTGGGTCTAAGGACTCTTGTCTGATTAAGTAGGCTCTAAAACTGTTTAATGAAGGGATGAAATCATTGTTCCTAAACTAGATGGCTATGTACCCAGGGACAAGTGACATAATGTTGAATGTCACATATCTTAAGTACTTGGAATAAGAAACGTTTTGGATTTCCAGATTTTCAGATTTGGGAAAAAATATTTAAATATACATAATGAGAAATATTGGGAATGAAGCCCAAGTATATACACAAATAAATTTATTTATGAAGATAAATTCTGTTATTTTTCTTATATATCTTGTATACAAAGCCTGAAGTATCTCAGACACTGCAGATATCTGTAGTTGTTGGCATCACCATCCTGTATGTATCTTAGTTTATATGCTACCAGTAAACAATAATTTTCTTATTTTTATCCACATATAAGTACTTAAAAGTAAAACAAATAACATGCCATTAACACAATGAAAAAAATTTGTGCTCAGGATGCTGTGGCAGTAGTCAAACAGCCACAGGAAACAACAGCAGGGTCTCAATCTCTTCCTATAGTGTTGTGCTTTAAGAGGTTACTGACTGTTTTTTCTAAGCATCACAAGCATCTGAGTGATGAAGTTAGTTGTCTAGGTATGAGAAACATTCTGCTTTGATGGTTTCTTAGTATTTCCTCCAGTCATCTACTTCACGAACAGTTTTGTCTTAGAAGTCTCTTTGCTTTTATAAATGGACATGATTTCTTGTTTTGTTACTCATACTACTCGGGCCAGTAAACACACTATACGTTTACATGATGTCACCTATAGGTAGCTTTTATGCAATGTTAATAATATCAATTTCATCATCACTATTTCCAGAACTGTCCTGATTCCTCATCGATCAATAAATGAACTACATTCTCACTATTAATGTAAAAACACTTTGATATCTATTTCTTCCAGCTTACTTGAAAGGTATATTTTTTGATATATGTAAGGAAGTAAGTTAGGCATGGTTAGGAATGCGTACAATCCGAGTGCTCTGGGAGTTTGAGGCAGGAGGATCAAATGTTGGAGCTTAGCTTGAGCACCTTACAGACTGACTCTGTTACATACATACATACAGACATGCATGTATAATAAAGAGCTGGGGATATAGATCAGTGAGATGGTCCTCGGCTCAATCCCCAATGTGGGGAGGATGCTAAGAAATCATTTCTTAGGGGCTGGGGATTTAACTCAGCGGCATAAGTGCCTGCTTGGCAAGCGCAAGGTCGTGAGTTCGATCCCTGGTTCCATTAAAAAAAAAAAAATCATTTCTCACTTAACATGTGGAATTCTTTTAATTCACCACTTTGTTCACTATCATCACCTGCCAGGCAAGCACAGGTGTGTCTTTAGCCACTGTGTTTCAAACATTCACAGCTACAGATAAAGAAACGGTCAGTCTATCCTATTTTTACACAGTAGGTCACACTGTGTTTCCTAGACACAGTATGCACTTTTATTTTTGGTTTTACTCTTTTTTTCTCTTTACTTGGCACAAACTTGCTCTGCAAAGCTAGTTTCTCTCCCCACTCTTCACTTGTACTTTCTCAGACTTTATCACTATTCTTTTATACATACAAACATACAATCGATCAAAGACCTTTCACAAACTTTTCACAGTCAAAACTATTTAGTGTTCTAGCAAGTTGTTCAAAAAATGATATCTATTCATTCATTCATTTATTCATCTATCCATTATTGAATGGTTAAACTACAGGGCAAAACTCAAAGGTTCTGTGAGAAATGAATGATTAACAAGAAGTTCAGGTTAGTGAAGCATGTTGTACCTGGCCGTTATCCCTCCCCTTCCCCCAAGAAAACTGCCTAGAACTGACACAATTCTTTCCACAAACTGCTTTTGTTTTTTCTCTTACACTGTTATTCTAAATAAAAGCCTGACAGTTCTCAGCTTTGATGCTCCTCCTGGGAGTTTAACTCTGGAGACTCCTAGTTGAGCAGATCCTCTGGGTTTCTTGGTGACTGAACTAAGTAAGCCCCATCTCCAAATAATCTTTCACTTTCTATGCATCCATGGCTGCTCACTGTGACACTGACCTATAGTCACATGACTGGCCACATCTAAAGGAAAGCACATAGCATTTGCATTGTTTCTTAAAAGAACTTCACCTGGAGTACAAGCAAAACGGTTTTTTAGGAATAACAAAATCATGAAACTGTCCCTTCCAGTTTCCCCATTGTGAGCATGAGCTGCTGATCAAAAGTGTTTGTGAAACCAATCAGAAAGGATGTCTTTGGTGACTCATACCTTTTATTAGCATAATAGAATGGTAAGAAATTCATTTATATCAACAGGTGAATGCAAGCTTTCGTCAGCAACAGCAAGTTTATATTTCCAGGTGCCTGCACACTGTGCATCCAAGCACAGTTACTCTGTTCTTAGTACACTTCATTCTCCCTGGGCTATCTCATCTGCTGTGGTCAGTTTCCTTCTGGGGCAATAAAGGTAATAGTGATACTTCACCAGCACTCCAGGCTTGTTCTGGTGTGAGATTTTTATTAGTGACGACCTTGGCAAACTTATCAATGCATTTCTCTGCTACTCCTTGATCAGCAGATGCTTTAATCACTACAAAAGCTTAAAAATATTTCATGTTGTTTCTTAAATGCAACCAGCCTGCTGAATATCCAGACTTTCCTTCAGCTTTCAGTTCCCCATGAGTTTTGCTTGTTTCATGATCAGCATCCCATTAAGCAGCATGTGTTCACTGTGATGCTGACAGATCTATTTCTAACATGACTGAGATCTTCACTTTTAGCTGTATATAGTGTTTTTCTACTTTCATTAATTTTTGTATACAACTTTCAGCACAAAACTTCCAACAATTAATTTCTTCCGGTCATAGTGGTTGTCATTTGAACACTGTGCTGTTTCGGCAGATGTTTTATACCATGCTACATTTCACCAACAGCTTGATCTTCTCTATTGTCTCTATACTTGATCTTCTATAAATGCTGCTGCTTTTTCTTATCACTGTTATTCAAACAGGTATCTGAAGGACTACTTTCTGACACTTTCAGTATCTTTAAACCACACAACAATTTTTAAAAACCACTAATACATGCAAGTTTTGAGCTCATGTGGGACATTTTGGGGAATCTTCCAATGGTACATCTGGCACCCAGTGCATGCCATTTTTATACTCTTCAGTGGGCAGACCTATGGCGGGAGGTTGGGTGTGTACAGAAAAAATACCACATTCCTTGGGGATGCTGAATAAACTGTGTCTTATTCCTATGTTCTAACTATAAAACATCAAACAAAACCAAAAGTGTAATTTTCCACTTATGGCATCATGTTCATACTCAAAAAGTTTCAGATTTTGGAGCATTTTCAAGTTTAGAATTTTGAATTAGGGATGTTTAAACTGAATCGTCACTAGGCCTCAGCTTTCTCATCTATAAAAGTCTGGATTCTCTTGAGGATTATCAAATGAGTCTCCTAAAGAAACAACAAAAAAATTGCCAAAGATGAGTCTTCAGACATTAAAATGCTAACAGTTGTGTATGTAGATTAGCATATATGTTTATGCAAATCATACAAGCATACATAATAAAATGACCTAAAATTCTAATTACCTACTATGAAAACAACAGATTAGATGCTCTCTTTGCAAAGTTTGGCTCCATGTTATACAGGGGTGAATTAAAATCCAAACATTTGGGTCCGGGATATAGTTCAGTGGCACAGTGCCTGCCTGGTAAAAGTACGTTCACAAGTTTAACTCCCAGTACCGAAATAATAATAATTAAAATAAAACCCAAACATTTGAACATAATTTGTTTTTTGCCAAGGGTGGTGACTCATGCCTGTAATCCCAGCACTCAGGAGACTGAGGCAAAAAGATTGTGCCATGCCTGAATTACATACTGACACTGTCTCAAAAAAAAAAAAAGAATTTTTTTTTACAAAGATGCTGTTCTCAAAATTTTGATACAAAGAATTGCCTCTAACCTAAGGCTCAATGTTTAATGTTATTACTTTTAATAAATGTATTACTTACTTAATAATTACTTAATAATGTTATTACTTTTAAATAAATGTCTCAACCTGTTTGCTAATAGCTGTTTGCTATTTAAGTTATACTCGGGTTCTGATAAGTA